ATAAAAGAAGCGACAGTCTCCTGACTATGATGGGCGTTAATATTCTAGACACTACTATTTCTTGTGCTGTTAACATAAATCCCTGTTTACCGTTATAACTCTTCTTTGGAACAATCAACATAATGCGATAAGGTTTCCTGCTGTCATACACGAAAAACAAACTTACATTGGTCAAATAAACACCTGAAAAAACAACAACATTGGCCGAAATATATGGAATTTAATTAAATATCTCTTTTTTTTTCTGTTGTCCATCTCATTTTTTTTTCCTGATTTTACAAGTGATTAAAATTCTGAGTGCCCAACCGAGGTCGCTTGTCTCCGTCAACAATACCTGTCATGTTAACTCAAGAGCCCCAAACTCGTGGAATCCCCTCTGATTTAGAGAGCAAAAACTCCTGTGTTTATGGGACTTCGTTCTGCAAGCTACATAGGGTTGTTGACCCCGCAAAACTGTTTACATTGCTCTATATTATCCTCACTCCATTGCATTCCCAACTAAGGAGCTCAGAAGAGAAAAACTTCAGAAGTGTGTTAAAATGGATTAAAATTAACATGTCTGAGGTGTGGTTTAGATATTATGTGTAAAGGCGAGATATAGCGAACGAAGTTTAATTAATGAATTTTGTAAAATTTGAACATAACAGCCTGTACAAAGATTCTCGTTTAGACTGCTAATAATAAAGGTCATGTGCTGTTTCATGACAGCGTACAATTCTGTATGAACTTTATAAGTAACACTAGCTGGAGTACCTGTCCGTTGGACAGGTGAACTAAAAACTCGTTTGTAACAAAGGACAAGAAATTGTGCTTTTGTTTTATTTTTTGTTAACATAATAAACATTAAAAATGCAATAAAAATACTTAAAGTTACTAATACTGAAATAAAAGACATACTGTTTTCAAGAATTCTATCGACATGAAATTAGATGGAGGTCCACCCCCACATGACCTTCCTCATACCATCCTGGGTGCTAATTGATCAAGAAATGTGGAAACCTATAAGTAACAGATGGCAGGAAGATGCGAACAAACAGAAACAAACTTAGCTTTATATATTAGATTATAAGCTACAATTTTAATATTTCAATTTCAATGTGTAAACGTGTAAAATGAGAAATGTCCGAAACATAAACATTTTGTTTTGCAGAACTGAGGAAAAAACAAAGGGAATTGTACGTTTCACCAATACCTCATTTATTAACGATAATGGTTTCGCCAGTAAAGGCATCATCAGGTTATTTTATGACCCTGTTTTTAATTAGACTGTGTTTTCCGCCTCACGAATCTATTGCAAATATGTCATTCATATTCTTATTCTTGAAGCTGTGTTATGTAAATTATTAAGTTATATAAACAACAGGTGGCGTAAAAATAGTATCACGAGAAAAGAAAAACAGTTAATGAACTTTTAGACTCATCGTACGTCAGGAATCTATAAAAATTAATTGGACTTTTATCGCGGTCATTTGTTAATTTTCGTGTAGAGTAGTATTCTGCAATTTTCTAGGTCATAAACTATCCGACTAAGATTAGCAAAGCAAGCGAAGTATGAATTGATCTTTAATCAATAATACTACCGTTCATTTGAAACATACTATATGCATGATTAATATGTCATCTTCTTTGTTCGATTTCTACAATGAATAGAAAAATAAAAAGCATCAACAAACAAAGACAAAAATTTATAAGTAAAATACTAAAAACAAATATAATTATTAGGGACTTATGGCCACTGTATAGAAAATTTCGCATTATTTTATTTCATTTTGGAGTAGGCCAATTTCATGTATTATAACTAAAGAGACGGTCCCAAATACAAGTTGCTAAACATAGTCTGCGCCTAACCCTGAACATTTCCTTGACGAAGACCAAAACAGGCTTGTCCTAACTGTAACACAGAGTAGAGGCTGAAATAACACAAATCTTTCAGTTGAAGAACGTCTTAATTTGGCTTCTCAAAACGTGTGATGGTTTAACGTTCCAACCGCAATACGGCCAGACTTTACACTACTGTTACGAATCACCGTCACACTCACAGTACAAAACTCACTAACGGTACCTAAGGTGGCAGGTTAATATTTCCAATGGTATCAAAGTATTCAAATCCCGTGGCAGAATTGAAAAGTATATTTCACTGCTTAAACCTAAAAAGATGTTTAAAAATTTAAAGAAATAATATATATATTTTTTATTGTAATGGTGAAAATTATCATAATAAACAAGCTGACTTTTGCTGTATTTATTATCCTACAAGATTCACATATGTATCATTGTCTTACACGTTGAATGTAAGGCTTATATCTCCCGAAAAGGGCTAACACACGCACAATTGGAAAATTGCCTAAAGTTCGTCATTGTCAAGAATGCACTCAAAATGCATATAGCATTCAGAAGATCTTAATGTCTTCAAGCTTTAAGGACCTTGGCCTACTTAAAAAAAAATTAAAAAGTAGTACGTTGATAATGAATTAAGTATAGACCGAAACACTACTATAACTACTAAAACTATAAATATACAAATGAGTTTCCATAATAGTAAAACTAGGGACTTATTAAAATAATGTATCGGTTGTTCATAAAATGATCATTGGCGAATAAAATCTAATAAATTGTCTCTTCTGGTAAAAATCTAACTCTTTGTAAGCTAAAGAAAAATATAAAAAACAAATAAAATAAAATGATACACGTCATAAAAATTAATATACCTTACATAAAAAAGTAATACAAGTAACCTGACAATGACTAAAGTGTAAATGTAAGTTAGCTATTTGAAGGTCTAATGCGACAACAGAAGTATTAAATATCAATTAAAGACGGTACTTGATTTGGACAATATAGTATTATTTATGATATATCATTCCTTATGTTGGCGAAGAGTGACATGTGTATTACCGATCATTTGTTTGTGTAACATTACATTGCAGTAATGTAGTAAGACTGATGTGTGAACGAGGCGTCTTTATCAGTTTTTTTAATGGAAACTCATAAAGAGCTTATAAAGGAAGACTAGTTAGAAATCATAATCATTGTTATTGTAATGTTATTCCATTGAAAAACGATCTATAGTGTGTTATTTGTTGTATTCAGTAACGGTGTTACATGCAGTATCTATTTATTCATACACCAAAAAGTATATATATATATATACTTGTATATAAACAAAATAGGAGTAGTTTTAAGATAATTTGGTCGGAGTAAAAACCTAATGTTTACAGAACACAGGAAACTGTTAAATCGGTACTTACCATAATCGTTGTTTGCGTTATCTTCAAATTCTGGTGAAAAATCAGGATCTTCTGGATCTAACAACATTTCTACTTGGTCCATATCATATCCATAGTAACCAACAATATCCTCTGCTGAATCGTCCATATTTAGGTGCATTTACTACACAAAATATGTTGCCTGTGAAAGATTTTAGATAATATAAGTCAGAAGGATACACGTAAAACTTTTAAAGATATGTACATTATGAGGTTTTTCAAAACTATAGAAAACAAATAATGTTTAGTTCATTTCCGGAAAACAACTATTAAGAATATACTTTCGCAAAATTTCTGTACATATATTTTTTTATCTCTTAACAAAAAATATTTATTGGTTTTTACACATTTCGGAGAAATAGTATCAATATAGTAAATCATTAGCAGAAAATTTGTACCAGAGCTGACTTACTCACGAACTCTCTCAGTCAGTGATAGTAGTGAACCATCTAACGAGCCGAACGTAACCGTAAGTAGGGTATTTCAGCTGAGTCTCGTCCATTCTCAGAGATTTCGTGAGTTAATACTGTCAGAAAGACGCGCGATATTTATTAACGGAAACAGTCTGAGAAAACTCAGGTTTGGACATGTTATACAGGAATATTATTACTATCAGTGCATAAAACTAAATTCGATAAGAAAAACAAACGAGGTAACTCCTTTAAGTTAAAATACTTGAAAAGAAATCGAATAACTTATGTTTGAATTAATAATGAACATTTTTCGAATTACTATTAGTATTACTTGACGATATAACGTTATTTATAAATATAATATTATATATAATGGCAATGATATTGATAAATTATCATTTAAATAAAAGATTAGACCAAAGGCTTTACCTTTATTTTAGTAAAGAATATCTCACTTGTTTTCTTGTTATTGGTCCAGTGAAACTTATTAATATTAATAAGAAATTCTCTTAAAGTTAAATTAAAATGCTAGGAATTAGAAAAAGAAGATCCTACCGTACAATTACAACTACAAGATCAGGCCTAATCTGCCGCTTTATCCTTTACTTAGTTTATTTTAGTATAGTTCAGCCACTCTTACTTCTAAGTTAAGTTTCAAAGACAGTGTAACTTTGTTAGTATATTACTGTTGGCATTCTCCGACACAGTAACTTGAGTGTAGCTAATTTTCGTGATTTTGGACACTGACACTTTAGTAATACTAATAGGATTATAATGTTCTACAGTTCGAAGGTAGTGACCAAAATTACTAAATTAACGTAGTTAGAAAGTGCAGTGGTTTAGTTAGTTTAACAAATATGTACATTTTAGCGTGATATTGACCTGGTAGTTAAGGCATTTGACACCCAATCTAGTTGGCAATGGCAGTAAATGGTGTTGACTAGTTCATCTAGTACTAGTTGTCTTCTCTGTCACTGTAATATTAGGGACAGTTAGAGCGGACAGCCATTGTGTAGCTTTGCACAAAATTCGAAATAAAACAAAAGAGTGACATTATAAAGTAAAATAAAGTGTCACTTGGTTTGTACATAAGTGTCAGGTACTGAAGAACAGAGGACATTGAAAAATTATTTATTTATAGGCTTTTGGTCATGAATAGCAAAATAATAGAATGATGTCTAGTGGCTCATGAATGTTGTGAATGACAAATATTCAATTAGGTGAAACTAAGCTAGAGGTAGTTAATGGACTGAAGATGTATGTAACGAACGTGAGAGACATAGACATATCAAAATCTAAAGATGGCTGACAACAAAACATAATATACGAATATTCACTTAAATAGTTACTGTAAGTTTTTAATGTAACAATTAGAATGACCTGAAATAATGTACAAACGTGGAAGGTAAACACATAGAGACTTTGGAATGACCTGAAATAATGTGCAAGCCTTTGGTTGTTGTGCAGCATGTCTCTCACTATGTACTAATAGTAATAGTTGATTGGAAATATGTATTATTATTTGTGATTCATCATTTTACACATCCTCCCATATCAGATACTCTCAGACATTGTTATCAAAGTCTAATTGTCATTTAGATATTCTAGTTATCTAGACTTGTATGTAGCTTCAATTTGTAAGTGATGTTTCTTTATACTTCCCTTTTCAATCCTGAAATAACTGACTTGTTTTTATATTTATCATTATCTGTGTTGAGTAATTTTATGTCAAATGGTCATTGTAGACAAATATATTTCCCTTGCCACAAGTTATCACCAAGATTGCTGTGATTCCTGTATTGATGGAACTATTTTTTTGTATGGCTCGTATATTATTTGGATCCACAAATAATGTGTTGCTTAAATTATGATGATTCTAGGGTTAATATAATACAAAATGTATAATTTTTTTTTGAACTGATGACTGGATGGAAGACAACTGTGGCAGAATCTTCTGCCAATTTATCTCTTCTTGTGCTTGTCAATTAAATGGATGTAATCTATTAATGTGGCCAATGATTAATAAATTACCGAAGATGAATAATCATCCATTTCTGTGTTAAGTCCTGTTCATTAGATTTGTGTTATAACATCAGGGAATTTGTGAAGTTGGTATTTAGAAATTAATCTTTTTGAAAATCATAATGGTTTTCGTGTGAAATTTTTTTTTTTTTGCACAGCAACTAGTTAAGTTTCTTAGATGACAGCATCTGTTTACTTTTTTCCCAAACATATGCCTAGGACTAGATACAAGTTATCATTGTCTTTTTGAGATCACAGGTAAATAGACAGTAAATGAGAATATATAGTGATGATTTCCTAATTTTAATTGATGTGAAACTAAGAAAGCTTGTTTTTTGTAAGGCTTCTCTTAGAATATTAGATTTAGGACTGGTTTCTGTGAATGCTAAGTTTCTTGAAAGAGTTGTGAGGACTGTGGGAATTATTCCTAGTTTAATAGACACAAGGTTCAAAACTACTACACATCACTTGAGCTTGTATCATTTAAAGTTTGGAGAAGTAAGGTTGATTTGATTTAGATGTTTAAAATGCACTTTCCAATCGTAAAGCTTTAGAACGTAGATGAAGATGTATTTTTGATGTTAATGTATGTGAAATGGTGTGTGATGTTAATTTGATGTTTTTTATTGTTTCCATTTGTTTTGTTTTTTGCACAGCTCTGAGTGCATTCATTTTACTAGAAACTTGTAGCGAACCAGTTAGTTGTTTTAAAATATTAATTTTAATATTCTACTCCTTAAAAATATCCTGGCTCTCTCTTTGTATTTGTGATGTTTTTCTGTGGTTTTTAAGTCTTCCAAGAGTTAAAACAGTACTCTTTATATATATATATAACTTCTTATTTTTACTGTTTCAGTTGGAGAATGTGACTGGTCTGATTCTTGTCAATTATGCAACAAAAATTTCCAATTAGTTTATTTTTTCAAGAATATGTCAGCAGCAGAAGATTCAAGTGAAGGGCCAGTCACAAACCCATCTATTAGTTTTTTACTACGCCAAGTATATTACGCCCACAGGAAACAAGTGAAAGGTTAGAATACACTTTACTCTGGCACATATTAGTATAACAGAGTTTACTTTAAAATACACTTAATCTGGCATGTATTAGTATAACAGAGTTTAACTTTAGAATACACTTTACTCTGGCACGTATTAGTATAACAGAGTTTACTTTAGAATACACTTTACTCTGGCAAGTATTAGTATAACAGAGTTTACTTTAGAATACACTTTACTCTGGCACGTATTAGTAGAACAGAGTTTACTTTAGAATACACTTTACTCTGGCATGTATTAGTATAACAGAGTTTACTTTAGAATACACTTTACTCTGGCATGTATTAGTATAACAGAGTTATACTATAACTCAGCAATATTTGTCATGTTCAAACATTTATTTAGCATAATTCGTGAAAAAAGTAAAAAAAACATGACTGTATGTTTATTTCTGCACAGCTGCAGTTTATTTTTGTCTGGGAGCAAAACAACGTCAATGTTTTTAAGAATTCTTCTGACCTTTATTTTTACTAAGAAGCTGTCACTTCTTGAGACTACCTTATCTATTTCTTAATGTCAAATATTGAAACCTTGCTATGGTGCCACACCAAATGGTTTTATAATTTACTAATAAAACAGAGCTATAAAGAAGTTAAATATCACGTAATAGTAGAGTAAATATATAGATTTTAATATTTATTTTTCAGAACTTCTGTAAACATTGTGAAAGTATTTGTTTGTTAAATTATATCTGAAAGCTATAGAAAATTTCTTCAATGAGAGACATCAGATAACTTGAGATAAGGTAAGCTTGTACTGTTGAGTGAAGGGTTGGGTGGGTAACAAAGAAAAGGGATACAAATTGAACAATGTTAGTTATCATCAGGTTCAAGATATATATATATACATACATAGTATAAAACAAAAGTCGCATGATTTGAGATTGTTTAAAGCTTGATAATGGTATCTGATTCGTTGTTTAAAATCACAATATTTCTACTTTTAATAGATGTACTGTGATTTTTATCGAGTTGCGATGTTTGCAAGTAAGCATGAGTTGATTTTTTATTATATTCACCAAATCAGATCTACAAGTTTACTGTTTAGTGAGTATGGTAAGTGACTACAGAATATTCTGGTGACTCAGATCGTTACTCAATATTCTGATGTTTATCCTATTCAAACAATGTACACAAATAAATTGGCTAACTGGCTACTTAATTACTTCTAATTGTAATGGTTGCATGGTATAAATGAAAAAACACCATTATCGCTGATAGTAAAATGTTTTAATCATTATCAACTTATTTGATTTAGAGATGATCACTATTTTAAAACAAATATAATGGCAACTGTTTAGTGGTATTTAGTTAACATTAGTGATTGATTTGCCAAATACAAAATGTCCAGATTATATTAAAAAATATTGTTATAGAGAAAAATACAAAAATGGTGACCATGTTAAGAGGTCTCCATATGAAACCAAGAATGATTCAAAACTTCCTTAAGAAAAACAAAACAAGGCAGATAAATATAAAAAGATTAATACTGTATTACAATAGTGGCATAGTTTTCAAGAAAGATGAGGCTAGCATCCCATTTTATTTTATTTCTTGCTTGTATTGGGGATGGGGGTGGAGAGGGCACACACCTATTGATTAATTGTATGTAAACACACCATGAACTTATTGATTAGATGTAGCAAATACCACTAATTGCTAAGCTCTAAAGAAATAACTATCATGTTGAATGTTGTTTTTTAAATTCTAGCTTTCATTGAATTGTTTTGTTTTTAAGAAATTTTCAGTTGAGTAAGTTTGACCACTGGTTTGAATGACATTACTATGATAGTGTATTGCTTTTTGAAACTATCATATGACATTATCAAGGTAGTGTAGTGCTTTTGAAACTATCATATGACATTATCAAGGTAGTGTAGTGCTTTTGAAACTATCATATGACATTACTATGATAGTGTATTGCTTTTTGAAACTATCATATGACATTACAGTGATAGTGTATTGCTTTTTGAAACTATCATATGACATTACCAAGATAGTGTAGTGCTTTTTGAAACTATCATATGACATTACTGTGATAGTGTATTGCTTTTTGAAACTATCATATGACATTACCAAGATAGTGTAGTGCTTTTTGAAACTATCATATGACATTACCAAGATAGTGTATTGCCAAGTCCACACACCACATCACCACACTAACATTCAACAAGTCCACAGAATAGCTATATCACTTCTAGTCCTGAAACCTTATAGAAAATCCAGGTTATAGTTTTTATGTTTTGTTTTAAAGGTCTTGGTGCTTCACAATCAGAACTAGGTATTTCACTTCTAGTCCTGAAACCTTATATAAAACCCAGGTTATATATTTTTATGTTTTGTTTTAAAGGTCTCAGAGCTTCACAATCAGAACTAGGTATATCACTTCTAGTCCTGAAACCTTATATAAAACCCAGATTATAGTTTTTATGTTTTGTTTTAAAGGTCTTGGTGCTTCACAATCAGAACTAGGTATATCATTTCTAGTCCTGAAACCTTATATAAAACCCTGGTTATAGATTTTTGTATATTTCTGCAGAATTAGAAAATGAAATCGTCACATTGAAGCAGATGATAAATAAACAGAAGAAGAATGACAGGTAAAGAGTTTGATAAGCCGTTTTAGTTCATGCAGTTATTTGTAATGGTTATTTTAACAAGTCATATTGAAGCAGATGATAAATAAACAGAAGAAGATTGACAGGTAAAGAGTTTGATAAGCCGTTTTAGTTCATGCAGTTATTTGTAATGGTTATTTTAACAAGTCACATTGAAGCAGATGATAAATAAACAGAAGAAGAATGACAGGTAAAGAGTTTGATAAGCCGTTTTAGTTCATGCAATTATTTGTAATGGTTATTTTAACAAGTTACATTGAAGCAGATGATAAATAAACAGAAGAAGATTGACAGGTAAAGAGTTTGATAAGCCGTTTTAGTTCATGCAGTTATTTGTAATGGTTATTTTAACAAGTTACATTGAAGCAGATGATAAATAAACAGAAGAAGATTGACAGGTAAAGAGTTTGATAAGCCGTTTTAGTTCATGCAGTTATTTGTAATGGTTATTTTAACAAGTCACATTGAAGCAGATGATAAATAAACAGAAGAAGATTGACAGGTAAAGAGTTTGATAAGCCGTTTTAGTTCATGTAGTTATTTGTAATGGTTATTTTAACAAGTCACATTCATATAATTACTATGTTTGTTGTATCCTAGCTGCCTTGATAAGCTCTTGTAGTTAGCAAAGTTTGTCATTAGCAGTGGATATGGCAGACATTGTGTGGTTGAAGTGTTTAAAAATAGAATTATCTTAACACTACTGTTTTATTACAAATATCATTGACTATAATAATGCTTTGCCAGCTTAAAAAAAGTTCTTGCACCATAAGATCTTGTTTATAATCTTTGGTTTAAAATAAAATTCATGTTTTATAAGCTTTGATCTCGTGTATCTTATCACTGTCATGGAATCTTCCACAATTTTGTATCGTATTCCTTGCTTTTCTTGGAGAAAATGTAGCATTCAAGAGAAAAAAAAATCTGATAGGTACGAGAAAGATTGGTATACCAGGAATAATCTCTTGGAGGATTATAAGTATAACAAAAAAAGTTTAATATATTTGCTATAGAAGAGAAATTATTAAGGAATTATGCTTATTAGTATTAATAATCTTTCACTGCCATATTTATAAATAAATTCTCCCAGCATAAATTTAACTTGTAGACAAAAGGACATGTCAGAAACTTGAAGCCAATAAACTTTGGGAAGTTTTAAGAGGAGTATCCTTTCTTATGGTTGTCATTTTCAAGGGTTAAATGAAGGTTATGTAATGTGTAACACGTAGGTGCTCGTGGCATTGTGCTATAGCAGCGAAAGAAAAGCACATGAATTAACCACACAGGTGTGTTTTAAAGTATTATTTCTGTGTTTATTATTAAACATCCTTAAAGTCACAATTATGAAATCTTTTAAGAGTGGTTTTTGTAACATTTTGATTCACAGTTTTTTTAATCTGTTGAAATGTTAATAGCTACGAGTGTTTTTTAAAGATTTAATCGACATATTTACCTCAAGGGTTGATACTATTGATGTGACAGGAACAGTAATATTGTTTTGAAATTAGTATTTTTTGTTATCTAATTTTCCAGTGTACCACCTTGTGAAGAATGTAAGAAAATGAAGACGTTTGTTGCAGAACAGGAACAAAAAATTCTTTTGCTTGGTAAAGTTCATTTTTTGATTTGGCTACAACATGTTATGGGAGTACTTGCCATATTTTGGCCCAATAGCTATAAAAATCATTGATTTTAGTATTTAGTAGTGTAAGTACCTCATTAGGTCATTAATTGTAGTTTTTAATAAAATAAGTACCTCATTAGGTCATTAATTGTAGTTTTTAATAAAATATGTACCTCATTAGGTCATTAATTGTAGTTTTTAATAAAAACAAGTACCTCATTAGGTCATTAATTGTAGTTTTTAATAAAAATAAGTACCTCATTAAGTAAACACTGTCAGTAGTACTGACAAACAGTGGTGGGAAATACCATATTATAGAATATACTTAAACACTGTCAGTAGTACTGACAAACAGTGTAGGAAACACCATATTATAGAATATACTGTAAACACTGTCAGTAGTACTGACAAACAGTGTAGGAAACACCATATTATAGAATATACTGTAAACACTGTCAATAGTACTGACAACAGTGTGGGAAATACCATATTATAGTATATACTGTAAACACTGTCAGTAGTACTGACAAACAGTGTGGGAAACACCATATTATAGAATATACTGTAAACACTGTCAGTAGTACTGACCAACAGGGTAGGAAATACCATATTATAGAATATACTGTAAACACTGTCAGTAGTACTGACAAACACTATCTGAAATATAGAAGTATGTATTTTTTCTCCTACAGAACAAAAGTTTGGAAAAACCTCAGAAATCAAACATCAGTTCTCTGAAAGGTATTTATTTGTATCCATTTATTGAACTTGGAACCGTGATTTATGCTGTTTTGTATCTAGAAATAAGGATTCATGTTTTTGATTAGTAACGGGTATTTTACCAGGAACTAGTCTATAGTTATTGACAACGTGATCATGTGTTTATTTATATGTTTAATGAAAAGGATTAGATTTATCATCAGTGTAAACAAGTTTTGAAAACAACAAAATAATTGAAACTACATTTTTTTGTACGTTTTAAGGCCAATTGTTATCATAAATGTTTCTCTGTCACTTCAGTGATTCATTTTGTAGATTTTGGTGTTATAAAAGGAAATATTTTTTACTTGTGTGATACATTTACATGAATTCAAGCTACTTCATCAAGAACCAGAGTGTTAATTATCATCACATGTTAATAATCTTGGTGAAATGTCAATATTTTGTATTAGCACTGCACTCATTCAAAAAAAATAATGAAAATTAATTGATTTACTTTGAAGTGTTTTATTTTCTTAGTGATTTGAAACTATTAAATATATGCAACATATTAGGAGTGATCATTGCATTTGAAACAGTTTAAACACATATCTCCTATAGGAGTGGGTGTGGCCCAATGTCCAGCATACCCTGACCGTGAATCTAAGTATTCATGGCTCGTGACCCGTTGCTGTCAGAAAACACTTTGAATTTTGAGGCCTTAGGTAATTTATAACAATGATGGTTAAATCACACGATTTGGTTAGGTTAGAGTAGCCCATGAGTCGACGACCAGGGTGTTGCAGACTGCCTGTCTTGCCTTTAGTTGATCGATTTCAAATTAGGGATGACTATTTACAGATAGGCCTAGCATGGCTTTGTTCTGGGGAAACGTAGTGTGTTTATCTAGACTTGAATTTAATTAAATCAACATTGATTTACTGCAACCTATAAAATGTGTGGCATTTCCTGTTATCAGGTCTGGACAGAAAGTTCAAACCTCTATTAATCTACTTGATATACACAGTTAGACATTATGTACATAGACAGCCCTTCCAGAAAGAATGCCGTTTTGTTCACATCTGAATCAGTATGTCCGTAGGAGATGGTTATTTAGGTTAAGTTACATTCTTAAGTTGAACAGTAATGCTGTTTTGTTCACATCTGAATCAGTATGTCCCTAGGAGATGGTTATTTAGGTTAAGTTACATTCTTGACTTGAACAGTAATGCTGTTTTGTTCACATCTGAATCAGTATGTCCCTAGGAGATGGTTATTTAGGCTAGGTTACATTCTGAAGTTGAACAGTAATGCTGTTTTGTTCACATCTGAATCAGTATGTCCCTAGGAGATTGTTATTTGGGTTAGGTTACATTCTGTAGTTGAACAGTAATGCCGTTTTGTTCACATCTGAATCAGTATGTCCCTAGGAGATTGTTATTTGGGTTAGGTTACATTCTGAAGTTGAACAGTAATGCCGTTTTGTTCACATCTGAATCAGTATGTCCCTAGGAGACGATTATTTAGGCTAGGTTACATTCTGAAGTTGAACAGTAATGCCGTTTTGTTCACATCTGAATCAGTATGTCCCTAGGAGATTGTTATTTGGGTTAGGTTAGGTTACATTCTGAAGTTGAACAGTAATGCCGTTTTGTTCACATCTGAATCAGTATGTCCCTAGGAGGTGGTTATTTGGGTTACGTTACATTCTGAAGTTGAACAGTAATGCTGTTTTGTTCACATCTGAATCAGTATGTCCCTAGGAGATGGTTATTTAGGTTTTACATTCTGTAGTTGAACAGTAATGCCGTTTTGTTCACATCTGAATCAGTATGTCCCTAGGAGATGGTTATTTAGGTTTTACATTCTGTAGTTGAACAGTAATGCCGTTTTGTTCACATCTGAATCAGTATGTCCCTAGGAGATGGTTATTTAGGTTTTACATTCTGTAG